TACCYTGCATCTCAAAAATATATGAAAAAGTAGTATATCATAGACTTATATCCTACATCAACAAGAATAACATACTTAATAGGAATCAATACGGTTTTAGAAACAATCACTCTACTTCTATGGCAATTTTAGATTTTGTAGAAAAAATATCAAATTSAATCGATGAAGGTTACACAACTACAGGAATTTTCTTAGATCTCTCAAAAGCATTTGATACAATCAATCATGAGATATTACTTACAAAATTAGACTTCTATGGTGTTCGAGGTATGCCCCTTACTTGGCTGAGGAATTAACTCTCAGAAAGGAAACAATTTTTTGATTTCAACGGGATCGGCTCTGAAATGCATGTAGCATGTGGCGTATCACAAGGATCGATCCTTGGTCCCTTATTACTTTGATATACCTTTTCTCAAAAACGTGATGGATTATTTCAGTTACATTTTGATAGACWGTAATGTAAGGCTTTCTCTTTAAAAAGGTATAATCAGATCYGCGGGATCTTAAAAAACAACAGAGTACGAAACGRCCAAAGTTGGTTTGTTTACATGATTTTAATTGAATTCCACCGAGTTCATTAGAATACAAATGAGACAAGGTTTGCTGGAAACGACTACTAAAAAGTTTGTATTTATATGCCATTATCTTACAAAAGATAATTCAAAATATATTTGAGTCTGCAAAGATAATAAGATTAGATTGTCAACACCCCCCCCATCTTTTGACACTGTCTGGTTTTCTCAAGACAATGACTCTTAACGCAACAGACAAAAACAGGGATGGGTAGGCATGTTTGATTCAGTGTCGTGACTGCAGCCCTCGATGTCCTCGAAGTATTTATTTTTGCGTGCTATTTTACTTCAAATCGCAAATTGGGCGTCTTACAGATATTTGCCTAAAACCTTCACCAAARGATGGGAAAGATGAAATATTCCAAACTAATTCTATAGATTTAAACACTTAAAATTATTTTAACGGTTCGGTGCTTCGAATACTCTATGTGGAGTCACCATAAGACATGAATGGAAAAAAGTCCTCTCAGATCAGTCCGAGATCACAGTAGCAGACTTTGAACTTTCTCTTTATATCGGTGACAATTTTTCTGGATTCCATGGAAGGATCCTAAATCTTTGTAAACTTTCCTTGGAAGCGAATCATTATAAAGATTAACACATAGTCTACACAGCCACCGATCTGTCGCAACCCTATCCAACTTRAACTTTGTCTTCCAGCTAAAATATTCGTTGTAAGCAGTGTCATTTTTATCCAAGTACTTGATGTAATCAGAGAAAGCTCTGATACTCGGGAAATCCAGGATGTTAATATAGGATCCAGGAATAGCCACCTTAGCATCATCATAATTAGACCCTCCTAAAACTATGGGAATCATGTTGTTTTCAAATGGAGTCCTCCAATATTTTTCAGTTACGTAGTCGATACACAGTGCATTTTCAAAGGAAAGGTAGAACTTGAATCTTTTCATATAAGGCCCACATTTTGTTGATCCTCTTTTGCAAACTTCTGGACTTACTTGATTGAATAGATGGCTGCATTTCCCTATAACAGTAACAYTAAGAAACTGCAAGATCTTATGAACAATTTTATCCCTAACACCAGCTCCACAGTGGCTCACTGCCCAAGCGATGAGCTTGTCCTTTCCCTTGGCATAGTTGATGTTATTACTATTGTTTCTTTTTAATTCTAAAGCGCTGTAATAGCCATAATGGTGAACTATATCCGAGTCAAATTTGTACGAAGAAGTCCAATTGAAAAGTCCGTTAAATACAGTGGCATCAGTGCGACTCACTTGTGGAGATTCATGCGCATAATAGACCCATCTCTGGTGTGGACTTCGACTTACTCGCTTTAACTGATCGTAGCTGAGGTCTCTTTCATGAAAGACGACTGCATCGCTCAAGTGCAACTCCTTCTTGTTGTRAGTTGTCAAGCATTTGTGAGAACATGGCAGCCTAAGAGCTTCGTCAACGTTAGGCCATGGACTCATATCAAACCACGCTGTATAGAATAAAATTCTCTTTGGTCCTATACTTTGCTTACCATGAAAAGTTGCATTCGCAGTTGCAATAGCATCTTTAGACATGCTTGAGTACATAGACATCGCCCTAGAATGGTAGAAATGTCTTATTTCATTTCTGAATGATGCAATGATGATAATCATGGTTGTAAGGGGAACAAACAACAAAAAAATGAGTTTTTGTCGAACAAACTGAAAACACTGCATAGTTGTCGTCGATCAGTATCAGTTCGAATATGTAAATAAGACATGCGCAGTAGAAGATTGTCAGACCAGAACCAATTGAACCGAGAGGGTCTCAATGGGGGGGTCCGCATCACGACTCACGGCTAAAAATTTGGCTTTTTCACGCCTCACGGCTAATTTTTTTCACATTTACACGACTCACGGCTAATAGTTCAGCCGTTTCACGGCTAATTTTTCTCATTTTTACGATTCACGGCTAATATTTTAGCCGTTTCACGGCTCACGGTTAACCCCATTGAGACCCTCAACCCAATGTGAGTCTAAATAAAGAGGCAAAATCAGTCGTGAAATATTTTGATATTTTTAGATAATAATAATAATAGTATATAAGTCAATAAATAAGTCAATGAGAAATGGTTATTCAAGTAGTTCAATTTTCTTAGTTTTTGAGTATGAGGATAACTCAAATGAACGCGCAAAAGTTTACGAAGAGAAACGAGTAACCTTGACTTAAATACCATAGCATGCTCGATTATTACTCAAATACTTAAGTGGACGTGACGCAAATTAATGCGTAAAATTTGACGTGGACAAAATTATTGGTAAAATCAAGGGAACCTTACTCATCGGCTTGACTAATAAGTTACTCAAGTAATTGAGCAAATTGAGCTCCCTTTATCTAAACCCTCGTACTTAATGGCGTTGTATACCATTTCTGGACTTTTATCCACGGATTTTAAGCGATAACAATCGTTGAATTTGATGGACGCGATGAAGTACTTATAAGCACGTGTATGCGAGCAC